TTTTTTTTTCACCCGAGATAGTCAAAGTTGGGGAAGAAAATATCAAAAAGTTAAAAATCCAGAAATAGTCCTAATTTTATGATGGTTCCTTAATTTATTTTAACTACATTGCATTTGAGTATGGAGAGGCAACTATCTGGAAGTATTTTACATAAAAAATTTACTAAGTATTGCCCGGTTTGTAGTTGCAGTTAAAGAAAACACATGAAAAGGCACGATTTTTTTTAAATTCGAAAAAATGTAAATATTTCAAAAACGGTGACACTTTTACCTGAAAATTTTTTGTTTATCAGTGAGCTCACCCCCCCACCTACCTGGCCCTAAAGTTTGGCACGTTACTTCTGGGACACCCTATATTGTCCGATTTCGCCCATTTTCAATACCATCCGTCCTACGCCCAAAAGAAGTTCACGTACCAAGTTTCGTTAAGATATCTCAATAAAAAATAATAAACAATGCTTCATAGATAGATTTTTTTTAAATCTAACTTCATAAAGTTCTTTAAAAATATTTTGTAAATGAGGCCATAAGAGCTTAGGGGGAGAGTTACAACACAAAAATAAATTTAAGGCGCAGCGAAGCACGCCGGGTAATTGCTAGTGTAGCTATAAGTGGCAGCGATGCCTTCGCAAAGGTTCACTGCTGTCGTTCTCCTTCATAATTGAATGTAAATGCTGCGGCAAATATTCGCGGAAAGTTGGTGTGGCTAGAGATACTATTCTGTGCGAAGGAAATTTTGTTAACTGCATAAGATTTGCACCGTTCATTCGATTTTCAAAACTGAGGTGTCAAATGAAAGGGCTTGGCCTCTAGATGTGCAGAAAGTATATATTTTTTTGAAAGGGTTGCCACCTGCGTTTATAATTATGATACTTACACCGTTCTCCCGATTTTCAAAAATGAGGTGTCAAATGAAAGGTCTTGGCCTCTAGATGTGCAGAAAGGATATATTTTTTTAATAGAGTTGCCACCTGCGTTTAAAATTATGATATTTACACCGTTCATTCGATTTTCAAAAATGAGGTGTCAAATGAAAGGTCTTGGCCTCTAGATGTGCAGAAAGGATATATTTTTTTTTAATAGGGTTGCCACCTGCGTTTAAAATTCTGATATTTACACCGTTCTCCCGATTTTTAAAAGATAGGTGTCAAATGAAAGGGCTTGGCCTCTAGATGTGCAGAAAGGATATATTTTTTTTAATAGGGTTGCCACCTGCGTTTAAAATTCTGATATTTACACCGTTCTCCCGATTTTTAAAAGATAGGTGTCAAATGAAAGGGCTTGGCCTCTAGATGTGCAGAAAGGATATATTTTTTTTAATAGGGTTGCCACCTGCGTTTAAAATTATGATATTTACACCGTTCTCCCGATTTTCAAAAATGGGGTGTCAAATGAAAGGACTTGGCCTCTAGATGTGCAGAAAGGATATATTTTTTTAATAGGGTTGCCACCTGCGTCTAAAATTATGATATTTACACCGTTGTCCCGATTTTCAAAAATGAGGTGTCAAATGAAAGGGCTTGGCCTCTAGATGTGTAGAAAGGATATATTTTTTTCATAGGGTTACCACCTGCGTTTAAAATTATGATATTTACACCGTTCTCCCGATTTTCAAAAGTAAGGTGTCAAATGAAAGGGCTTGACCTCTATATGTAAAATAAGGTTTTATTTTTTAAATATTGTTTGAAATTTCATATTAAAGAAATATTTATTTCCGCACTTACATCTATGTATTCGTAAATATGTATGTATGTACATGCAATTACTTAAATTAAAACTCATATAGATAATTCATATTTTATGTACATGAGTATGTATATTTATTCATTTCTGCACTTGAATTGGTATACGAACATACATATGTATATAAATAAAAGCTGATAAAAACAAATATTTTTGCTTAGTTGCTATCTTCAACATCTAGTGTTGAAAAATTTAGGAGCTCAAAGTTTAATTTTGTAATTAATAAATTTGACAGCGATTTCTTTGAAAGTTTTGTTCGCAGTGTAGTTAATATTGTAGAAAGTGCACTGAACGCTCTTTCAACAGAAACTTGTGTTGCAGGTATGGCTAGTACAACTTCCATTAATTGTAACATATCGGCATCATTCCGATATAATTTCCGACAGGAGTCCAAAATATTGCCGTGAAATGGCTCCATTTCCCTATCGCAAAGTTTAGCTTGTCTTTCCTTAAAGGCCATTTCTCCTCTTTGTGGTGTTGGACCTTGTGCATTTCTCATTGCGTTTACAAGAAGCGGCAGTATGTCATATATGCCTTTCGATGTGGACGGAAGTTCATCTTGGGGAAGCGACTGGCTTGGAAGATCTGGAGAACTGTAGCCGTACAGGTCTTCTGATGGCTTACCAATTTTATTTATCATATCACGTGTCCTAATTAAATGATCCTATAAATAAAAGAAAAATAGCAAAATCAAAATATTAATAAGTAATATCCAAATCAAGGTTAAAAAAAAATATGTATGTATGTATATCAAAATCAAATTATTTATAATTACCACAGCAGCTTGCTTTTGATCATAGCTTAGAAGAGGTGTGTTGTCGAAATTAAAGCGCGGATGCATATAAAGTGCAGCAATAAATGCGTTATTTCCTATAAGTGTATCTTTCCTTTTCTTCATTGCATTTAGAAGGGCTTCCGCATATGAATTGGTAGACACTAATTTTTTAAGCTCCAATTCATATGTTAGCCAATCTCCAAAAAAGTCTCCAATAATATATTGCTCGTGTTGCAGTTTTAGAGTGCATTTGGCTATTGGATGAAAATCCGCTGGGAAATTTCGCACAAATATCCAGCTGACGTTAATATGTGACGCGCTATCTAGATTGTCTATGTAATCTCTTATACTGAGGTCGAGTTCCATCTAGTTGCATTGTCAAGGCATGGCAAACTGATTTCGATATTATCCGATTTTACCGATGTCCGTAATTTCTTTACAGTGTTTCGGCATTTTTAAAATCATAATAGGCTGCTAACTGTATTGAATGTGCAGCACAACGAACAACAGAGAAAACAGAAGCAATTTGCGACTGGACACTATTTCATTCAGCATAATCCGTTTCAATGTCCTCATCATTAGAAAAGTTGTCCTGTTGCATTTCTTGTAACAATTTGGACATTTTGACAACATTTGCACCGTTATCAGTGGTGCTAGAGTAAATTTGGTTTATGCTGATACCGTAAGGTTTTTATTATTTCCTCTTTCAGATTTTCAGCGGTGTGTCGTTTCGTAGTTTCAATCATGCCTGAAAAATATGTGAACGAATGCAAATTTAAGTATATATAAAGCATATATATGGGTACATGTATATAGTATGTATATATAACATAATTTCATTACTTACCTATGGTATTTATATGTATTTTGTAATCACTGATGTATTGTAAGTTAACGCCTAGTACACTTCGTTCCATTCGAGTTGCAATATCGATTTGTAATGAAATCATTATATTTTTTACCAATCGAGCAATTTTTTCTTTGATTTGTTTACTAGTTTTATCAGAATAGTTACTACATTCTTCGAATTCAAGTTAGTTTGAAATTTTTGCTCATAGGGCTCTATAACCTTTTTAAAATACTCCTCGTCATCAAACATTCTAAAAGGAATATTTTTTTACTTATCAATCCCATACAGCATCTTAAAAATCCAGCTTTATTTAATGAACAGTTTAATTTGGTAACAGTTTTTCGTTATATTTATCCATTATGTCAGTTTTGTGTACAAGTTTGTAATGCCGTCTAATATTTGCCCCTGACTTTCCACTTAATTTACGTATGCAAGTTTCTATGAAGCATTCGCTTTTCTTAGTGCTTTCTTCATACTTCACATATCTTTCTACATTAAATTTCCTTTTTCCATTTTTATCCAGTTATTTTTTAATATAATAATCTTGTTTTACAAAACACCGCTTACTACACCACTCTTCCGCGCCTGTCTGATGCAGCACATATATTGTATGTGCCTTATATACGCGAGTAATAATTAATAAGCCTCTGTTTTTTACTTCTACCTACCTACTCTATATATATTAGACAAATTTATAGACTTTCTGAAATGTGCTGACCTGTAACAGAAATGGAAAGCATCTTCGTTAAATGATAATCGTTAGTATTTCGCAGAAATCTTTAAGGAAAAATGTCATTCAAAAACAATAGTTGCGGTTCTGCCTGCAGATATCGTTTTGAGCACACCCCTAAAAATTATTAGAAGTAGTATTTAGTATTTTGAAATAAAACGGCCTTTGCGTATGTTACATTAAAAAAATAATCTTAGGCAGCGACAATTTTTTAAACCTAATATACGGGAGTAATAATTACGTAACATGTATGAGGTGGGTTTTATCAAAGGCTGAGGTAGTTCAGTCGCTCCAGGGTTGGGCGGAGGTCCCACTAACCCACACTGAATAAAATAAACACCGTAGTTTGATGTAGCGAACACAACCACACACACACGCGGCTGTTTGGCCAGAAGACCGGCACCTTGATGTCTAAGAAGGGAGAGGGAGGTACGGAGAGGGAGAGAGACTAACTGGTCGGCATCGCGGTTCAGAGGGCGGAGGCTGTCCGGTGGCTAGTGGTAACGGTAACGGTGCCGGTGAGAGCGGTGACGGTTCGGTGATCAATGATGATAACCGTGAGAGCGGCAGCGAGCGCAAGAATGGTAACCGCCCACAGTACTGGTGCTGCAGCCAATGAGAGCGACGGTGCTGCAACCAATGAGAGCTACGGTGCTGCAGCCAATGAGAGCGGCGGTGCTGCAGCCAATGAGAGCGGCGGTACTGCAGCCAATGAGAGCGACGGTGCTGCGGCCAATGAGAGCGGCGGTGCTGCAACCAATGCGAGCGGCGGTGCTGATCGCGACAGCAGTAGTAGTTCCTTGTAGTAGTTACGGCCTGCGGTGATGTTGGCGGTGGGCCCAAATAGTGGCGAGGGCGGTAGCGACCTCTCGTAGTGAAAGCAGTATTGGCGGCAGATCGTGCTAGCGATCCGAACGGTCACCTGTAAAAGCTACGGAAGGTGGTTAGTATGGCCCCAGGGCGGCAAGGTAGCCCATTACCCTCTCTAATGTATTAAATCGTGGCTGCTTGGCATTGTGGGGCGTGTTTAGCCGCATCGGCACAATGCCTGCTCGCCACGCGGTATTCTAAGTGGGCAGGAGATTTTGTCTCCTGTCCACTGAGACCGATTGCAAAATGTTGGGTGCGCTCTGTGCTTACCTACGGAAGCTGGTACAGGCTGAGTTGGCGTTAATCAACTTAAGTCGGTTGTTGAATAAGCAGGTTGAGAAGCAAATGAAAAAGAAGATGCAATTCTTTGGCATGCTTACGCAGCGAATTCTCGTGCAGTGTTGGCGTGCACGAGTGCTTTCAGTTGCTGTGTAGTTTTGCGTGCTTTACTTTGACTGTCCATAAGTATGGGTGTATGTATGTATGTACGGCTGTACGTATGTATGTATGTAAGTAGATATGTACGTATGTACATATGTCTGTTAGTGTAGCGTAGGTGAGCTACGTTACAGTCCCCCTCCCACTTCGCCGGACAAAAGGAAAGGTGCCTACACTACCTAAGGTAAGGCAAAGGTACATTTTGTTGCTTTTTCTTTGGAAAATAAATTACATTTCATTGTAGTATTCGGATATATATGAAAGCATTTTATTTCGTAGGGTGTTCGGTGATGCTGGTTGGTTATGTGTGCAGTTCTTCTTCTAGTCGATGAACTCTATCGCCTTGCTTTGTCGGTTGTGTCTGACATTTATGTTGCGTTTATACCAACGGATCCGCCATTTGTGCAGGTTTTGTCCGGGCGCCGTAGGAGGAGGTTCCGGAGTGGAGTGGTGTTATCGCCGTGGTATCTACTGCTGGGTGCGCTGTGGTGACCCTTTTGTTGTCGCTGTTGGTCGGTGGGTTTGTTGTGTCGCGCGATATATCGCGCGTTTCGGCGGAAAGTGTGGTGATCGTGAACAGTGGTTCGCATTGATCTGGGTGGAGAAGAACTAATGGCGGTCCGCGAAAAATTTTCACGCTGAAGATGCGAGGTTAGTTGGGTGGCCATGGAACCGCTTCGAAGGGGAGTCGCCATGGTGACACTGACCGAGGTTCGTCCGGTGGTGTCGGCTGTTGATTCCTTCTCCTTCGCTTGCGTGTTGCCATCTGGTTGCTCAATTCGTCTTTTTTTCTCCCCTTTTCTTTCTTTCGTATTCTGTCTCCCTTGTGGGTAGCGGGGCAATAACTGTGGTTTCGGTAGTATCGGTATTTTATCGTGTTGCTTGACTGCTGCATGGCGGAGTTGCGCAGATAGTAGCGCTGTTTCAACGGTTGGTTGTGTGTGGCAGCGTGATTACCTGCTCGGCGGCGGTGCTTGGTCCGGTGATCTTGGGAAACAGCATCTTGTGGTAGTCCAAGAAACGTGTTAGTCCCTGGTTCTGTTCCTGATCCAAATGAGCCCGTTCTGTTAGGCAACGCAGCGTGGGTGTGGGTTTTGGTGACGTGTCGGGGCTTAGTGGCTGCCCATCTAAGGTTACAACAATGCCTCGCTTTGACAGGAAGTCCATCCCTAGTATCATTCGTTCGGCTAGGTTCGGGATCACTGCTACTGCCGTGCGTGTGAATCGGTCATTATATTTGATTTTGACGGGGTAGGTGTGTGTGCTCGCGATGTATGTTGGATCCGCGAGTTGCACATTCCATTTATTTGACTGAGGCCGGATGTTGCGTTGTTCCAGATGCGCTCGCGTACTGTCGTCGGTATACGTTATCGTGGCTCCTGTGTCCACCAGTGCCCGTATGCGCAAGCCTTCAATGATGACGTTAACGTAAAAGCGACCGTCGACGTCTCGCCCTTCAGGTTGCAACGCGGTAGCGTGGGCAACGGGTGATGCTGTAGTGGTTGGAGCTGCTGACGCTGATTTCGGGCATGGACAATTCCTGGAGGAAATTCCATCTTGGCCGCAACGGGGGCAGAACAGACGTCGCGTGTTGTGACAATGAGAACGCTGATGTCCACGCTTTTTGCAGCGCCAGCAGGTGTTTCTTGCGTCGTACCGGCTATTTATGGTGGAAAGGCTGTGTGCCGCCTGTCGGTTCTGTCTGGATTCTTCGTTCTTGAGCAGCTCGTACTCATCGGTGAGCTCCATGAGCTCCTCGATGGTTTGGAATTCGCTTCTTTTGATGAAGAGTCGATACTCGACTCGCAGGCCGTCATAAATACGTTCTAGTTGGTTTTCATGGCACATGGTCGGATGCTGCCGGATAAGCGTCTGGAGGGCGAGGATGTAGTCCTTGGCCTTTTCCTCGTGCATCTGTTTCCGCTGGCGAATTGTATCTTCTAACTGGTTTATGTGTCGTTTAGGCAGGAAGTACCTTGCCTTTGACAACTTATTTTTTAATCCAAAGAACCGTGCAGATTTTATAATTTTTAAAATGGTGGAAATCCTATTCAAAACTATAAAGCCTTACCGCACATCTTGAGCCCAAGCCCTTTCATTTGACACCTCATTTTTAAAAATCGGGAGAACGGTGTGAATATTAGAATTTTAAACGCAGGTGGTAACCCTATGAAAGAAATATATCCTTTCTACTTATCTAGAGGCCAAGCCCTTTCATTTGACACCTCATTTTTAAAAATCGGGAGAACGGTGTAAATATCAGAATTTTAAACGCAGGTGGCAACCCTATAAAAAAAATATATGCTTTCTGCACATCCAGAGGTCAAGCCCTTTCATTTGACACCTCATTTTTGAAAATCGAATGATCGGTGTAAATATCATAATTTTAAACGCAGGTGGCAACCCTATTAAAAAAATATATCCTTTCTGCACATCTAGAGGCCAAGTCCTTTGATTTGACACCTCATTTTTGAAAAT